GAATAAACAAGATCAATAGCCGGTAAACTTGAGTATGAAAAGGTAAGACACTCTATACTCTCCGTATAGCGCGAATACCTCTGTTTCGGTGGTGTGGTTGAATTGCAATTGTGGCTCTAAGATTCCGAGGCGGAAATACCGATCTTTTTAATCGTGATTCTAGCTCAGTATCAAAATCTAAACTACATTTTGCGTATTTCCTGCTTACAAGTACTATAGATATGGTATGAAAGTGCATTTTTGTTGAATCTTTCTTTTGAAGGCAAATCGGGAACATGTGGAGGATGAAGCTGGACTCTCCGCGCAAATTGGTCAATACCAATCTGAAATCGAGTATGATGCTTGAAATATCTAAAAATGTCCTTTTTTCATTCATAGTTATACTCATAGCACTAGATTTTTGCTTACATTTAAATACCAGGCTTTGTTTATTTTTCTATGCCGCCTATGTGACAATGAAGGCCTCACATGTGGAAACTCACTAAAATAGTATCTTGCTACTTAATATTAATAAGTAGCCATGTAATAGCCAAATACAACTACTACTGCGTTCTGCGAATATCCTGTTATTATGCGTTCCATTTTTCCTTCTTCATAGGACTCTAAGGAGAGCTAGGAATAGAGCTGAGGGCTTTGAACGTGGGCTCCTGACTTCAATCTTGCGTTGCTGGAAACGCATTAAGGATACACGGGACGAACAAGGCTTCATCAGCACAACTGTTGGCCTGAAGATAATCAAGTTTGTCCACTGACTTTCTCCTTCAATATCTGTTTTTGTCTTTTATTGATGTCCAACTCATGCAGCCCTTAGCCGTAAAGCAGGCTAGGCGCCGTTTGAACGTTTTAGGGACTTTTTAATTATGCCTAAAGAATTTCTGCTGACCCAATACTGCCTTCAAATGACGCACTGTAGGGAGAATATTGACGCTGCCGCAGATGACTTTGCATGGAAGAAGGAGATAGCAGAACTGACTGAGGAGGCACGTAAAAAGCATGAACTGGGACGAAGACGACTGCTGGCAGAATATGAGACTGCGCTGGCCAGATACCAGGCAACTCTTCGCGAGGAGGTAAATTATTCACATTCAAAATCAGTGTACGCCTAACTCCTTGGTACATGACAGGTTGATTGTCGCGAATGGTGACTTCTATTGTGAATGAGCATGGCAATAGTGTCTTGCAGATGAATTAGTCTGTGTCGTGAGAGACTTGTTCAGCATATTCCGTACTCTCTCTCTCCCTCTCTCTCTTCCATCACTCACCTGGATGATAGAAAAACGTCAGGACGACCGGAGGTAGGCTCGGGTGCAGTGACTGACAAGTAGTCCGACAACGTTGACACCACGCACTACCTGCCAGACTGTTGTAAGGGTGACAGGTATTTTCCACCAATCGCCAGCTTACGTAGCACCGTCCCCCAGGCCTGTGGTAATAGCTTCAATTGTTTCGGGTTTACTTTAATGAAGAATGCAACGATATGCGGTGGAAATGGACATCCCAGTGGTATCCCCATTTTCTTTTTTTTCCTTCCTATGTACCAATCTAGTGGCCGAGTCTGTCAGTCAGTTGAATTTAACGGAGTCGTTGGTGGGGCGCTACCACTGCGGCGTTTATGGGCTGGCGTGGATCCTGCTCAGCCAGCTTAATGCCTATTGAGGGGACTATATGCGTTCTAGGTGCATGTATACTTAGAGGAAGAAGAAGAAGAGGAAGAAGAAAGAGAGAACCAAACTGCACGTTAATATCGATTATACTATAGAGGAACTCCAACATAAATGAAATAGGTATAAAAGATATTCCTTCCCGAACTGGAAAAGTTTGTCGAAAATTGTTCAGATTCAAGTGAAGCC